CATCTGTGCCTGGGTCAAACGTCTCAGGCAGCCGGCGCTGATGTATCTGTCTCCGCTGCTTCGTCTGCGTTATCTCGCGTTATTAGTGCGTTATCTAGGTATAACATGGTGACAAAAACACAGACTGTGACAAAAACACATGATGGGTCATTGTAAGAACCTGAGACCGATCCCTCAGAAAAACCGTGCTGAACATTTATGACTGTTGAACTGCAGTAGAACGGCAAACCGCCTTCCGATTCCGAACAGTCTGTTTATGCTGTATCCGTCCTCAGACGGCAGGGAGACAGTCCGCCGTAGAGTCGACAAACTGTGTCGTAACAGCAACGGCATTTTACGCCAGAACTGCGTGCTGATGTATTGATAGATAAGCGGTACATTTAAAGCGTAAAAATAGAGACAGAGCGGAGCAATTACTCATCAGAACAATGCTTTGTGGTATGTCAACGCGCGCAGGTTCGAGCACATATGCTGTATTTATAAGTGAGTATTTAAAAAAGTAACGCTAAGTGATGTCATATCAGGGATCGTAAGACAATATGCAATGCTTGAATTATGACTACCTACCACAGCTACATAATACCTAAAAACGCCTCAATTTCAGTCGGACTCAAAACAAGGCAAACAGTAGGTAGATCAGATATCAAGGTATCATAATGCGTCTAATAAAGCTAAAGAAATCGGTGATCAGCAAGCACGAATCGCGTTCGACAGCGAAAACAACTTTATTGGCAAGCTTTCCGTAACAACAAAACTATCATGCTGTTTCGTCAAGAGGAATGAATGACCTTACATAAAAGTTCTTGCTTTTCGATGTAAAGTAAGTACATACCTGGTGCAATCCTGAAATGAATGAAATATGTTTTGTTAACAATTGAGGCTTCAATTTTACTTCCTTTGAGCGAGAGGTGTGAGTTCCTTATTCAAATGAGATAAAGACGTACACGCGAAGCGTGACGACTCGTGCTTCAGCTCTGGGAACCCAGCTCTAAAACGGCACGTTGCCAAATTGTTGGTAACTGATGACTTTGTGCCGTAGAAGAATACATCAAGCCATCGAGTCATGTCGGAACCGTCTGCCATCGTCATGTCATCAAACCATTCAGCATCAGCGACTTCCGTCCGGACAAAATAACGGCAAAAACTCATGGGATGTTTACCGTAACCGTCACGGCTTAGTATGGTGGAATCCAGCTTACAGAACAAAAACTGGAGCCTCTTTGCCTTCAGTCATAAAATATATCTAAATTAATAAGGACGATCCTTCACTGCAAACAATGGGTTTTCGTAAATGTATGAAATGTGTGATCAGCAGTGGGAGATCCGCAGTAGGTGGGGCCCGCCCTGAGCGTAGTCACTTTCCTACGCTGACCTCTGCAGATAATGGCTCCACGATGTGCCGATGGGCGCTGTGACCGGGCCACCACAGGTCAGCACACATGTGGCACGACAGGAGGCGCCCACTATTGGCCACCGGATCTGTTACGACACACTGCACGTATCTGATTGTAGTACTATGTCAGAGATCGGCAGACGGCCATTAGTGGTGGTCCGAGTTTGCAACAGATTGGGTGACGGGTCACGGGCGACTAGACGACGGTGGTCGGTGACAGAAACACGGCATATTCCGCTAAAAATCGACGATCCATTTGGCACCTGACATATGATCGTTTCGTGTAGCATGCCTTGACGGTGCTCCATCAAGAGTGATCAGTGTAGCACGCGATAGAAATAATTATAAACTGTTGAAAACATTATCGCGCTACTCGTTATGAGAAAAAGTGCAAAATGATATACCTACTCCCATGAGCATAGTGCCGTGTGCCCGTCGGCGCCGAACCGCTTCACTATTAGCGGTGCCCCGTCCCGTGGTATCACTGCTGAAGGTACTTAGGTAGCTGCGTCGCGCCCCAGGCCTATACGGTCGCTCAATGTCCGTCTGGTGACTATGGTCATCCGGCGGGGACCGGTGTCAGACGTGAGAACGATGACCGCAGGTCCCACGGGTCAAGGACAGATCGCGGACGGCTGGAAGAGCCCGACTGTCGTGAGAGCAGCGTCGGATCAGTTTTGTACTGGATGGGGTGCCGTGACTTGCTGGTTTGAGTCCCGGTGTGTCACATAATTCACGCGTTTCTGACACTATCTGAGAAGGATCCCGGGACTGTGCTGGACGGAGTGAGTGGAGACATTCCAGCGCCGTGGCCAGTGAACTGTATCGCTTGTGACTGGAGACTCTCCGGTAAGACGGCTCTGTCTGTTCATAAGAATCAGCCAGTCTTGGAGCCCCGAGGGACCGATTTACTATAGCATATGTGTTCGCAGTCAATTTAACGTAAAAACACGATTTAATTGATATCACACAAATGGCCACAGCCCTGAATACATGAAATTGCCTTCTCAGCAGTAAATCGGAGCGATGCAACTTGACGTGCGATAACCACACATGATGGAACATTTTATCAGCATCTCAATCTGTGGCCCCATGAAGGCTTCATGCAGCCACGCGGTTCCGACTCTCGAGCCGAGTGTATCTGTACTCTGTAGGCATTGGACATGCATCGCTGACCACTGAAAGCTGCACTGGAGGACAGGTGCGCTTCTAAATTGGAATTTATCCTTCTTTATTCTTATTACCCAAATCAACCGGTTTCGATCTGAGGCGTCGGAAAAAGTACTTCTGTCGCGTTGAGGGAATATTTACGAGTTATCACCTATGAATTTTCTTTGCGTACCAATTATCCGCTATTACGCAAAATCGCCAGGCCGGCTAAAAGCTCAAGCGCTTGTCGTTCCGATCATAGCAATCCTCAATTGATGCTATTTCCAAATGAGTTTGAAAAGACGATTCAGTCACCAATTGAATATCATTGCGCGTAACCACCCCGCGGCCCGTTCCTGGCTGGCCCACCCAGCCCCGTCCCGTGTCGGCGCTCCGGTCACGACCCAGTCGTCGTGTTCGGGCGCACAATCGACAATGCAGCCGCCGCGGCCCGCTAACACCGCCGCGTCTGTTGACTGAAGCAAACACACACTGCACCGTTAGCGCACGTATGTACCGCGCTCTGTGGGCCGCCCTGGTCGGGCCGGACGGGGTCCCGACCCCTGCGCCGCCGTGACGAATGGAATCACGTGCAGCGGGAGGCGACGTGCACGGCTCCTACATTGAGCCCACTGCGGCTAATGTCCCCGGCGGTACTCAGACGCTGATGGGTTGTGAGTTTGTCAGGGCTCGGCTCTGTTTCGCCAACAGCCGCCAGCGAGCGCGACGCATTCACTCGAGTTCCGGCATGTTTATACACTCTCTTTCAGAGCCCCGGCCCTGACCGTTAGGTTAAACGGAGTTCATTTACCAGGGTTGTTCGTAGAGCTGTTTCCGGTATGAAGACAAGCAGCGCCCTCCGACAATCACGTGCCGTAAGTGGGTGGTAATTTTGTGTCCGGCTGGGCTATCAGCCCCAAGTGAGGAGGAGCTCGGGGCGCTGCTACCGGCAATGCCGTCTGGGAGGCCGCCGAAACACAAACGTGAATCCGCAGACTCTGGGGGCAGCGGGGGTTGGAGAGTTGCGAGTTCCCGAAAGTGCCAGCATCACCACCGTTCCGCCGGAGGGCAGTGACCGAGCCCTGGGGAGAGCTGTGGGGCGGTAGCGGTTACACGGGAATTTCCTGAAATCATCAGTAGCAGAAAGGTAGCCGCACCAAGATTACTACTCAGCCGCACCGCCCGCAGCAATGTCGGGCGAAGGACCCGGAGTGCCCGGCGGGTCTGTTTGCAGCTAGACTTCTGCAGCGGGGTACCGTCCCAGCACCACCAGACGTCACCAGCGGCGGCACCATCACCAGACATCACCACCACCACCGGCTGCACCAGTGGCGGCCGCTGAGGCTCCTCAGGGACCATCGGCTGGGTCGGCGTCACGGCTCAGTGGCCAGGACGGCCCGGAGACGGACAGCGCCTCAGACAGGTCGGTGCACCCGGCCCCGCACCCCGTCCGGCAGGAGCGACTGTGGTGAGGACCTAACACGATTACCTGCGGTGTTAGAGGGAGGTGTGAGACTGTGGGATAACGAAACACGATGTCGGTACTGGCGGTGTGTGAACGGGAGGTGAATGATGGCAAACTGCGTGCGTTGATAATGACAATGACATCCAGACCTTTCGGCCGTCATAGCTACACTAGGGTTGAGCTGAGCCAAGACTACACGTTCCGCTTTTATATCCCAAAACTTATGCTGGGGAGCTGTGGTTTGTAGAGTATCGATTAGCGAGCCTCACCGACCGGTATGCCACAACTTAGTTAGGGCTAGTTCTCAGAAGCGTCACAGTAACATTTATTCTGAAATGAAACCGCTTCCGGGTGTTGCTTTCTCCAAATATCATTAGTAAATGATACCAGCCACTTGGACGAAACACGGTCTGCTGCGGGATCGAATGTCGCCATCCTGCAGCATCTCGTCGCCTAAGTTCAGCCTCATTCATTCCACCTACTTCTACACATAGGTGCACACTACAACCGTGAAAATAAGGCGGCTTGCGTCTGGATGTAATGCTAAGTGTCGGGAGACTCTTTAGTGCCCTAAACGTCTCCAGTAGTTAAGATTTTCAGGTGTGTATGCTGCCATCTAGGAGCTAACATCTTATCAGCAAAGCCCTTCACCCGAGTTGATAGGGGCGCCATCTACGAGCTAACGCCTTCTCCGCGACGGAGCTCTATACGCTCGCTCGAGTGGGGACCGAGGGCGCCCTCTGCTGTCTGGGAGTCACCGCCCCTCAGCAATACAGCTCCCCTCGTATTCCATATGACAGGGACGCTATCTTCCTGAAAGAAAGTCAGCAATCGGATCTCTACGTCCAGTGTTGCGCTAGCGGTAGTGGTAGAGTGCCTTCATAGTGCTTTAAAATCCAACTTCATGGTGAGTGGTGACGGTACCAATCGGTTTGCCCCAAGGCCCTAAAACTTTGCCCCATCCCACAGTAACACACCTTGTTCCTTTTTTGATGTATTTTTTTTTTGTTGATGGTCATCGCACTACATCGGGTGATCACTTCTTGGTGGGGAGGATGATTCCATCGTATTTCTGCTGGAACCACTTCATGGAGTCCTCCTTGGTCACCCGGTGCTGAATGCCGACGCGGCTCTTCCGACGCCGGCGGGTCGAGATGTTGAACCCTGCCGACGACACGCAAAGAATTGTCAGCGAGAGAGCCGAACGTCACGGTAGAGAGGATAATTCCCGGGGCGAAGCGCATGAGACACGAGGGATATTTAACAGTCATGAAACAAACTGCGATGAAAACAAAACAACACTTTTGCATGGCCTCAAACACAGAGTACTATCGATCACCAGCACGATCAAAACCGAATCAGGTCAAACTTGAACGCAAGTGAGCTTCAAAATGGCCTCTGCCGTCAACACAGTACACAGTAACAAAAACAAAAAGGTTCGGAACTTCGGGAGAATTCCGAAAAAAAAACTAATTACACACTACGGCGTAAAATGCAGATAAATCCAAAAAGCATGGTTAGGTACCAAAGACAGTCACAAATTCAGTACAATGGTTGGCAGTTGGGGCATTCCACGATAGATCGACCAAAGCCGTACACCCTCATATTTTATTTTTTGCTTAAAATTGGTCTAATGGGTTGTGATGGGCGGGGAAGCCAGCTGTGCCAAGGATTTTTTTCTTCGAACAACAGTTTCCGAGATATAGCCTCAGGCAATTCCTGGAGGTCACGCTGCAACCCTATGTTTGGCGGCTTATAACTCAGAAACTATTGGTTTTCTATGGTAAAAACTTTATATGGTTCAACTCGCAATCAACCAACAAACGTTTTGGCTATCTCGGATTTTTGATTTTTGAAAATTTTGATCACTTGACATCTTGACCTTTTTTTCGAAGAGTGACCTTGATATTTTCCCAACTGAAAGTCGCAATTATGTCTGATGACGATTAAAGCCTTATCAATTGTCATTCATATGCGCAAATAAAAAAAGTGGCTTTCGGCCTGCGTTGACCTCAGGTCAGCTCATTTTTATGACCTGTCCATTATTACGAGCGGGAGCGACGCGAGATCTCGAGAATAAAGCAAGATAGCGACAAGCGGTAAACGGTACAGGATTCACACGGATAAGGTCTACAATTTTTACGGAGGTCATTTTCAGGTCAGGTCAAAGATGACGTCACAGGGGTAAAAAGGAAGTCAAAATAGTTTTGGCTGTACCTTTTGATCTAATAAAGAAAGAGACGTGGAACAGGCACCATTGTGTTTGCTTTCGCCTAGCGCCAGTTCGTTTTGAATTTCAATACCGATGACCTAAGATCAGGTCAATTTCTTGACCACCCCATTATAAGTCAATTGGGGAAAAATCAGCTCCATTGTTTTTACACTAAAACGCGTCGGAATTGCCTAATATACCATGAGTGACTTCATATACGACTAACTTTGACTACCTTGAGACCTTTTTTGCTCTTGGTCAACTGTGACGTTGCTCTTGGTCATGTGACGTCATTAACCCTCGCCCGCACATGCCATTTTCCCATCCTAGAACGCACATGGGGGGGGGGGGGGTGGTTGCCACCCCCCCCGCGCCATTTCGTTCCTGTTGGAGATAGAGCTTAGCAGTACAGACCAAAAAGATTCTTTGGGAAGAGACGAATCCAATGATACCCAGTTTTACCTTCTCAGGTCAGTCATTGACCTTCCAGGTCAGGTCAAACTAAAAAATGTTGCTGTTTTGGGTCACCGTTGGATATCAAGTGCGCTGCTTAGCAAATACCGATGACGATGCTGTTTTCTGGTGCCAAGCCAGCTAGAACCTCTTTGTCACACTATCCGACCAGAATTTTGCTGCTGAGGTCATTTCAGGTCAAGTTAGGTCAAGGTCAATTATATGTGTTTGTATGTCTGTGTGTGTCTGTGTGTATACTGATGTGTGCACCGATTGTTTTTGGGTCTATATCACATGAAATCATGATCTGAGAAGCTCTTACCAAAAATGCAGTCAAAAAACTTCACAAAAAGTAAATTCAGCTTGCCTAAAACGCAATTATCTTAGATGACCTAGGTTGACCTTGACCCCTGTACATCGTCGAACAACATGTTCCATGATAGGTGGGAGGTAAGACTGGCAAAAAAGGCCGAAATCAGGGTGTCAAAAGCTCACAAGGCCCATGGCAAACGCAAGATGTTGAGAATTGGCCATTTGGGTTATGACATGACCTGAAAAACAAGGTCATATCTCCGAAACCAAAAATCACAGAAACTTGAAATTTTCAGTAGACATCGAGAAAGGATAGAAGAGCAGCTATACGAAAAATCAGCCTTCTAGCTCTAAAAATGTTGAGTGCAGAGCAGAAAGACTGCCTGGGGGGGGTGGCAACCACCCCCCCCCCCCCCATGTGCGGGCGAGGGTTAAAGGTCACCAAATGTTTTTTGCTAATAACTCCTTACAGGTTTGAGATACAGCCGCGCGGATAGGCTCATTGAGTTTAGCTCGTCAAGGCCCATCGAATGATATATATGATGACCTTAAGGTCACGTGACCTAAGGTCAACTTTTGACCTTGACCTTTCGAGGTCAACATATACATGTTTCGATGCGGATCGACGAGAGGATCACGATGGTGCTATTAGTTTGTTCATAGCTGGGATACTTTGAAAGTTATTCGAGAAAAACTTCATATATATGTAGTGCCGCCATATAGACTTTCTTTTTACCCCTGTGACGTCATCTTTGACCTGACCTGAAAATGACCTGAGTAAAAATTGTAGACCTTATCCATGTGTACTTTGTGCCGTTTACCACTTGTCGCTATCTTGCTTTGTTCTCGAGATCTCGCTGTCGCTCCCGCTCGTAATAATGGGAAGGTCATAAAAATGACCTGGCCTGAGGTCAACGCAGGCCGAAAGCCACTTTTTTATTTGCGCATATGAATGACAATTGATAAGGCTTTAATCGTCATCAGACATAATTGTGACTTTCAGTTGGGAAAATATCAAGGTCGCTCTTCGAAAAAAAGGTCAAGATGTCACGTGATCAAAATTTTCAAAAATCGAAAATCCGAGATAGCCAAAACGTTTGTTGGTTGATTGCGAGTTGAACCATATAAAGTTTTTACCATAGAAAACCAATAGTTTCTGAGTTATAAGCCGCCAAACATAGGGTTGCAGTGTGACCTCCAGGAACTGCCCGAGGCTATATCTCGGAAACCGTTGTTCGAAGAAAAAATCCTTGCCACAGCTGGGTTCCCCGCCCATCACAACCCATTAGACAAATTTTAAGCAAAAAATAAAATATGAGGGTGTAAATTTTATTTATTTTTGGTCGATCTATCGTGGAATGCCCCAGTTGAGAGCAAATGCCGACCAGTTGAAAGCATAGCTGAACAACAGACAACCTAATTGATGCAGCTATTACACTATCTACTGCGCTGCCGTGCGCAGTAGACACTAGCCAGCAGCAACTACTGCTGGTAAGCGCCAACCGCCCGTCCCAGTCTTTCAGACAGCCCCTCGCACACTCACCAGGCCGACCGAGCACGACGTAGAAGTCGAGGCCGTAGATACCGATGCTGGGGTCGTACTTGATGCCCAGGTCGATGTGCTCCTTGATGCCGAAGCCGAAGTTGCCAGTGTCGGAGAAGTTGCCCTTGCGCAGCTCGTACTCGCACACCTGTGTGGGGACGTCGGACGGCCGTCAGTGCCGGGGAGATGACACACCAGACGGGCGGACAACGGGCTAGGGCTGGACGCAGAGAGTACGAGATTGGACCATGAAACAGACATGTGCATGGATCCGAGAAAATGGATCTGAGGTCCGATCCCATGGATCTAGATCTGGGATCCACTCGGATCATAGATCCAGCCCCTCAATTTTGTCGAGAAATCCACATTCCACTCAAATCATAGATCCGCCTCTCCGATCCATGCACATGTCTGCCATGAAATCACACATTACAACATGAAGCTCTAACATGGGTGGGCATGTAAGCATAGCGTGCGGGAGAGATCTGAATTAGGATCCAATTACATCCTAAATGTGGTCACTTTATGGCTGATGCGCAATGAAAATCAAGCAAGCATTTTCGACAAATCGTATAAGACGGGAGCAAGTTACAAAAGGTGAGCAATATGCTGGAAACGCGAAATTTTTACCGGAAGACGGTGCCATCATCTGCCGCCATTTCAAAGACGGTTTAGTGACTCGTCCCGGTCACAAAGTCTACGCATGGGTGAAGTAATACTCATGGTGGTATCTCATCCATGGTTTATGCGAATCAAAGCGCGATAGTCCACAGCAAACGGGGTCGGAGGAGGAACTCCATTAACTCGGCATTGGTGCCTGGCGCAAAAAGATCGTTACACGCAACACGTTCTAACGAAACATGGCACAGGCACAAGACCTCGACTTTCTCCCTAGTCCTGACATAACCACTAAACAATAATGTCACCAAAGCAATAATTATCCAACAAACCATCCACCATAGCAATGATTTTTTGGTCCTCTCTAAATCACCTCACAGTTCACACCAGTCCAGTTATTACCTCAAATTGACAGCATCATCTTTTCTAGCCAAAATACGCAACAAATCTGGCTATTCAAATTGCCACCAATCTCCCCAGCAGCAGCAGCAGTGGCGACTCACCTTGAGGCCCTGCTCGAGGATCTCCTCGGCCTTGGGTCCGCGCACGGTGCAGTGGACGGCGATCTTCTCGTTACGGCGGATGCCGAAGCTGCGCACGGTGTAGCGCGCCTTGGAGAACACCGGCGACTGGCCGGTCAGCTGCTCCAGCACCTTGGCAGCGCGGGTCAGCCTGGAATAGAGGATAGGCATGTCACATTGGGCATGCCACGTGACTGCATATTCATGAAATAATTTATAGCTGTAGGATGAACTGAAATGAGTAATGATACTGACCAGATATCAACTTGGGATAGGATGATGATAATCTTTGTTTCAATGACAGTGTCACTCTCTTCATAGCACATTTTGACTAACAAGCATCTCAGAGGCTTAGCTTCAGCCAAGACACCTTATCTTTCCTGAGAAATCTATGTGCAGAAAACAAGTATGGCTGCTACACAAATACCTATCTTAGAATAAATTGACTTATATGACAACTTTTAACAGCCACTTCTAAGCATGCTACTCTCATTGTGCATTCAACTGTAAGAAAATTATCCTACATAAGATCCAGAGCAGAATCTACCATCAACTTACTGATAACCACATAAGCCCAGCATTGCATTGAATATTGCTCACTCTTGTATGCAACAAGTTACCCTAGAGTAGCAATCTTGAAATACAGCTTACAGGGTATCACTTTTTAGCAAATTTTCCACTAATGTAATGTAACAAACTGTCTTGGTGTGAGGGTTCACTGTTACCTTTCTAGAAACGGACCACTTTGTTTATATAAGGATCAACTATTTCCATACTACTGGACTGGCTTCATTGTTATACTAATTACACAAAATATCACAATACATAAGCATACAAATGCAACAAGCGATTTAATAACAGATTAGCCCATGGGAGCAAAGTTCAAAACAAAGATATAGTGCAATGCTAAAAAGAAAAAGAAATCATTGAACAGCAACTCAACCTGTCAGAAATTTTACAAACAGGTGACAATCTGTCACCTTCTGGCTGGCCCCACTCAGTGACCTATGCTAAATTGCAAGGCTTAACATGGAAAACTTTTGACTGAAAACAAAAGCAAAAGATAAGTGTGAGACAGATGGACTTAATGTCTTAAAATAAACATCCCACCATAAAGATACTATACACGAGGTACTATCTACTAAGTACAAAAATAACCTTTTTAAAATGCTGTAGAACTAATGAAAAATAGTACTTACTTGTCACCCGATTCACCAACACAGATGTTCAGGCATAGCTTAAGGATCCGAAGATCCCGCATGGGGTTCTTTGACTTGTCCTGAAAGAGACAAGCAGGTATGTCAAAAATGGTTCTACAAATCACGTAACATAAAATAACACAGGCTGCAACTAACAAGAGTCAATTAAAATATTTTACACAATGCCAGGACAATCCATGGCAATCATATGACAATGTCATGGCAATCATACAGCACGCCTCTCAGATGCTGCCACCAGTTTGTAAAAAGTGGCTACCCTCCAACTCTCGAGATATTTAAAAACTTTGCTGAAGGCTGCACATTAGTAAGTTGTAACTTTGTAGCTTGTAGGTTAGTGGGAATGGTTAGGTCAGCTTCCAGTGCGTTTTTTCTGTAAGACTATTTGATTGGAGACTTAAAACCAAAATTTGTGTACATGTATGAAGAAAACAAGTATGAGTGGCCGCATGTGAGATGCCTGCTACATGAATACCCAATCCCTCACCTTCATATGCTGTTTCAAGCCAAAATTGCTGGGTATTATTACAGAGCATAACATAACCTAAGCTGACAGTCTCACTGCCTGAATCATCATCTTGCCTTGTTTAAAAACCTGTTGTAATTCAAAGGTGAATCTGACCTATATTTGGCACAACATAAATTTATCCAGCTAAATTTGGCACAGTGAAACACTAAAAATAAAGACCTATGTAGCAACAAGAGCGAGATAATCATGGTTGTAAAATTTCGGCAGCACGCAGACTAATCTCACTAGGCGAAAAATAGCGTGTACAATTTCTTAACTCCTCTTCGATGACAAAAAACGTCCAGAAAAGTATTTATCGGCAAAAATGTAATTCGCCACAATCGCCCCATTCACTCACCGCCATGGTGAACCGGAAAGACCTTCCGCCGGCAACGCTGCCATGTCAATTATAACAAAATAAAAACATGAAATGTTTTCAAGTCTGTGTGGCTTTTGCTTTAAAAGAAGGCAATATTTTTGATAATTAGATATACAAAAGTGAAAACTGACTTCTTATTTAGCGAAATATGATGCCCCGAGCATTTTATTGGGTGTCAAAGTTGTTTTTCTTCGCTAATAAAGCGTGTGAAATCTCTTTTAAGCTTCACCAAAATATTGTAAATAAAAAAGTTGGCTGTTTATGATGTTGAGGGCCCATTTTAAATCATATTTATGAAAATTTTATTACTAAGGATCATCAGCTGCTCCATTTGTTTTGAAACATAAATGACACTTTTGAGACGATATGCGTCCCGTTTGCTGCTCCACGCTGATTGTTTTTTGAAGGTGCAAATTCTCAGAAAAATTGGAATCTTGTCACCTTTGAATCCAAAATTAAAAATAGCTTGTCAAACGTAACAAATGGAACGGACGAATCAAATACAGCTGTTAAACGTATTAAATGTATCATTCAAAATACTTATTTTGAGTATTTGGATTATGCAAACGTCAGGCCGATGATGTAAACAGCTTGTGCTAAAAGTTTCTCTTGCTTAGTTTCTACCGATGAAATAATTGGCAAAGATCTTCGTATTTTAGCCTGGATGTCACTAGAAGCTCTAAATAAAAGACAGCATGTCCGTTGACCCTCGTTATCAGCCAGCAAGTCTTGCAAGTTTGATGATGCAATTTCACTCCAAATTACATTGCATCAAAAGTTGCATCACCAATGGAGTCTCAGCTGTTTTTGATGCTGATTGGTCAGGTGGTGTTTACGTACGCAGGAAGTCTAATAAAGAAAACAAAATGACTTCACAACTTCGACCGACCGTCCGTTCCGGCCGTGTCGTCGCGGTGTCGTCTGTGTCTATTAGATGATTGTGCGGATGTTTGTTATAAGTTGAAGTACAAGAGGGTCATGCACAAATTTAAATAGCCTTTCAATTATTATTTGTGAGCTAGGCGATCAGGTTACCTTGCCTTGATCAGCCTTGATTGTTCCTGATCAGTGTCTTTGAAGAGTCTTACAGTCATGTCGTTCAAGCATTTATTTATGAAATCGACATTTGTGAAAGCCCCTATTCAAAATGGGATAGGGCGATATGTTGGTCAGTTACAGAGAATAACTGTGAAATTTTGTAAGGAACACAGTGACAGTAAAGGAGTGAGGTAGGTAACAGGTGCTCCCCACCTTCAATCCTGTACCTATCAATTTGAAAAAAATAAGGCTATACAAAAAGGCACTTGTTTTTGGTTAAAGCATTAGAAACCATACATATGATATTTTTCACAAATCAATTCTATGTCAAACTCTACTGCCGGCACCTCAGCCTTCTCTCGTGTTTTTATAATGTTTCCATGCTATTAGTTTTGAATAATACCTACCTAATGCAGTCACAATTTTCACAGAATATTATAACAATTTAATATGTTCTTAGCAATTCTCTGCACTAGTTTGAATTATCAAATCATAAAAACAAATTTGAACTCTACCCTAACTGACTTGCCCCAAAGAATCCTTGCATAACTATGGTCCAATTTTTGCCTTTTAATTGGTTCATGTTTTCAAGAACTTAAATGGGAATTTTTCAGATACACTAACAAGGGCTTGGTTATGATGCACGTGTTTTTTTATTTTGTCCGAACCTTTTGATGGGAAGGATTCACAAGGACAGAGCCACCGCTAAGCGAAGCTCGTTGTGGTGACCCTGCCCTCTACCCTCCGATCGCGCAATGCCGATTCTATGGCAGAATTTAGAGTCCAAAGTTTAACGTGCGCACAAAGCCGCGCACGGCCGGTCCCCTCGCTGACTTCGCCTGGCTACGGCCTGCCACCAACCGCAACCATACCTGTCAGGAGGCCCATAAATGTCGAGCGCCCGTCGCGCTTCGAACCCGGACTGTTATAACCGGGAGCGCGTGCTCTCACCACGCGGAGTCCAACGCTCTAACCAACTGAGCTACGGGACCGGCACCAGTGTACCAGTTCAACCAGGAATTCTTGATGCATGCTAGCTGGTAGTCAGTAGTAATCTTTGTGTGCTAAAACTTGATCATCATTTTTTATTTGATTGAAATTGAGTGGGACTGAAGGACTGAGACCTGTAGTGCATCGCCGCACGTTTCTCCGACGCGGCGCGGCACTACCGCCGCTGGCGACTGGCGAGCGCTCCGACGCGAGGCGGCGCCACCGTCGACCTCAACGTGGCGCTGCTGTCGCAACTGACGCGAGGCGCAGGTTCAGCGATATCCGCCAGATGGCTCTGCTCCACTTGTTCATTTTCTATGTCCGATTTATTAATGTTTTAGAAATGTATGTTTGTGTGTATGTATCATAATGTTCATCGTCGTGTGGGCATTCACGCACTCTTCTAGAAAGTATCTCTCGCTCTGATATACGTTTTCTCACTGCTTTGTACTGTCCTTAACTTTGCCAAAACGAACTATGGTTTCATCGTTGTGTTCACTACATAGCTTGCTCATGCTGTTTCAAATACATCGCTATCCTTGGCCGATCTAAGTGTTTGGGGGAGACGGCTCCACATCAGGGAACTTCCCAGCCCGTCGTTGTGTGGAATCCCAAGTTGCGAATCCCAAACACTGGAACGGCTTCATCCGGCTTAGAGCACGACTCGCCACGGCACCAGCCACAAATGGTGACCCCGACGTGATCGGTAGCTCAAGAAGTCATCGTCTCCGCCTCGGCAAGAAGAGGTCATCTTTGACCTGGCCTCCCCATCGCCTCGGCAAGAATGGGTGACCTTCACCCGGCTTCTGCTGCCGCGAACAGTAAATAGTGCGCTGGTGACGTGGCCTAGCCTCAGCGCAACGAGCGCCCAACGCAGTGCAGCGCAGCGAGCGCCAACGCAGTGCAGCGCAGCGAGCGCCAACGCAGTGCAGCGCAGCGAGCGCCAACGCAGTGCAGCGCAGCGAGCGCCAACGCAGTGCAGCGCAGCGAGCGCCAGCACAGTGAGCGCGGCGAGCGCCTAGTGATTACCGACAGTCTTTCAGTGTGCCTCTAGTGTTAGTGTTTGCTGTATATAGTGGCTATGCCGTCACCCATCGAGCCGGAGAGTGCCGCCCAGGACGCGCCGACGCGGCCATTCGCGTCGTTCCGGCTGCCGGCCTACGCACCTGAAGAAGCCGAGCTCTGGCTGGTGCAGGTCGAGTGTGCCTTCGCCGTCGCCGGCATCACGGATGACCACGACAAGTTCCGGCTGCTGGTGGCCAACCTGCCTGTGCATGTCGCTTCACAAGTTCGAGACGTGATAACAGCCGAGACCGGCTCGTTCTCAGAACTAAAAGGGGCCCTGAGCACGCGCCTGGCCCAGTCGCGCGCCTCACGCCTCGAGGCACTCCTCCGCGACCACCAGCTGGGCGACAGGAAGCCCACGCAGCTGTTGCGCAGCATGCAGCACATGCTGGGCAGCGCGGGCCACGACCTCGGCCTTCTCAGGACGCTGTTCCTGCAGCGCCTGCCGCCGACGACCCGCGCCGCCCTCGCGCTGCTGCCGGAGGACACTGGCATCGACGACCTGGCCAGCGCGGCCGACCGCTTCCAGGAGGCCTCTGGCGGCGCCGCCGTGACTGCTGTCTGCACGCCAACGGCCGGTGTCGCTGCCGCCTGTGGCCCGCCGGCCGGCCCTGGGGTCACGCTCGCCCCGCCGGCCAGCGCAGTGACCGCCGCCGGACCGCCCGCCGCCTGCGGGTGCGGTAACTCCGGCATGGCCGCTGCCGTCACCGCCCTCACCGCTGCGGTAGCACGCATCGAGGCCGTGTTCCAGCGGGGCGGTGCCGACGCTCCTCGGCGTGGCCGCTCCCGCTCCCGTCCGCGCCGACCCGCACCTGCCTCGTCTGGCAGTTCTCAACCGGCATCGGTGACACCTGATGAAGGGTACTGCTGGTACCACCAGAAGTACGGCGCGGAGGCCCACCGCTGCAGACCGCCGTGCTCCTGGTCGGGAAACTAGCCCGCCTGTCCGCGCTAGCGCCAGCGGAGACGGGCCGGCCAACACTGGCGCCCCTCTTCTATGTCACCGACCTTGCCCGGAACTGGCGGTTCCTCGTCGACACCGGCGCACAGGTGAGTGTCGTCCCACCACGAGCCGTGGCCGACGGCACCACTGTGCAGCAGCCCGACGCGCCTCGACTGGAAGCAGCCAACGGCACAGAGATCAAGCTCCATGGCGTTATTTCGACTTCGGTGCGTTTCGGAACAGTGGACTACCCGTGGACATTCATGGTCGCCGACGTGTCGATGCCGATCTTGGGAGCGGACTTTCTCGCCCATCATCGTCTGCTGGTGGACATGCGCCGTCAGCTCCTCCAGGCTGAACACGGCACAACGTGTGCCGTGGGCACCCCAGCCGACATCGGCTCCGTCGGAGTGCGAATGTGCGCGGCGCCCACTCTCGCAGACTTGTTTAAAGAGTTCCCTCGAGTGACAGCCACATCTGCGCAGCTCCTGCCCGTGCGCCATAACGTCACTCACCACATCGTGACACGTGGACCTCCTCGTGTAGGGCACCCTCGGCGTTTGCCGCCCGACCGCCTCCGCATCGCCCGTCAGGAGTTCGACAAGCTGATCAGCCTCGGGGTCGCCCGCCCATCCAAGAGCAGCTGGGCGTCGCCCCTCCACATGGAGCCTAAGAAGGAGCCCGGACAGTGGCGCCCGTGCGGCGACTACCGCGCCCTGAACGCCGCCACCGTCCCGGACCGGTATCCCATACCGTTCCTGCAGGACTTCTCCGCGAACCTGCACGGCTGTACCATCTTCTCGAAGATCGACCTCGTCCGCGCGTACCATCAGATCCCGGTCGAACCCGCTGACATCCCGAAGACGGCCATCGTCACACCGTTCGGGCTATTCGAGATGCAGCGGATGAGCTTCGGTCTTCGCAACGCCAGTCAGACATTCCAGCGCTTCATAGACGAGGTGATGCGCGGGCTGACGTGCTGCTACGTGTACATCGACGACATCCTCATCGCCAGCACGTCCGTCGAGCAGCACCGCCGTCACCTCCGTCAGGTACTGGAACGTCTCGACAAGTTCGGCGTCACGATCAACCCAAAGAAGTGCGTGCTGGGCGTCAACCGTATCAGCTTCCTCGGTCACGATGTGTCCCCGGACGGCATCGCCCCGCTGCCGGAGAAGGTCGCCGCAGTCCAGGAGTTTCCGCAGCCGACCACGCAACGCCAACTGCGTAGGTTCATCGGCCTGGTGACCTACTATCACCGGTTCCTGCCTGGTGCTGCCGGCCTCCTCCGACCGCTTCACCACCTGCTGGACCAGAAACGCAAACGCGCGGCGCCGGTGGAGTGGACGCCAACCGCTGAGGACGCCTTCCAACGCGTGAAGGCTGCCCTGGCTCAGGCCACGCAGCTCGCGCACCCCACTCCCGGCGCAGCGCTGAGTCTGCAGGTCGATGCCTCTGACACCGGCGTCGGCGCTGTCCTGCAGCAACACTCGCACGGGACCTGGACGCCGCTGGCTTTCTTCTCGAAGTCACTCCAACCAGCAGAGACACGCTACAGCACCTTCGGCCGCGAACTGCTCGGGGCGTATCTGGCGGTCAAGCACTTCCGGCACACTCTGGAAGGCCGCCAGTTCGCCATCTTCACCGACCACAAGGCCCTCGTGTCGGCAGTCTCGTCCGGGTCAGCCAGCTACTCGCCGAGGGAGATCCGGCACCTGGACTTCATCTCCCAGTTCACCACCGACATCAGGCACGTGCCTGGGAAAGAAAACGCAGCTGCGGACGCTCTGAGTCGAACAGTGGCGATGCTCTCAGCACCGTGCCCGCCAGTCGACGACTTCGACAAGCTCGCAGCCTGCCAGCTAGAGGACGAAGAGCTGGCGCGCTTCCGCTCGACAGAGCACGGGCTCAAACTCAGAGACGCCCGGCTCCCCAGCGGCCGCACGCTGGTCATCGACGAGTCCCAGGGTGTACCGCGGCCGTGGATCCCGGCACCGCTCCGGCGCGCCTACTTCCGGCACGTGCACGATCTGGCCCACCCGGGAGTGCGCGCCACCGTCGACCTGGTCACGCGGCGGTTCGTGTGGCCGTCGGTGAAGAAGGACGCCGCACTCTGGGCGCGCACCTGCGTCCCGTGCCAGCGCACCAAAGTCCACCGGCACACGACAGCGCCGCCCGCCTCGTTCCCGCCACCTGCCGACAGGTTTCGACAAGTGCACGCCGACCTGGTCGGCCCGCTGCCGCCGTCGGAGGGCTACTCGTATCTTCTGACGGTGGTGGACCGGTACAGCCGCTGGCCGGAGGCGATCCCGCTGCGTGGCATCACGGCGCGCGAGGTCGCCCGAGCGCTGATCTCCGGCTGGATCTCTCGGTTCGGCGTCCCGGACGAGATCATCACCGACCGGGGCAGCCAATTCGAGTCGGCGCTCTGGGCTGAGCTGTCCACTCTCCTGGGCTGCGCGCGGCGCCGGACCACCGCGTACCACCCCCAGGCCAACGGGATGGTGGAGCGCCTGCACCGGCAGCTTAAGGCCGCGCTGCGCGCCGCCGCGCCCGCCCGCTGGACGGAGGCTCTTCCTTTGGCGCTGCTCGGAATCCGCTCGGCGCTCAAACAAGACCTGGGCTGCAGCACTGCCGAGCTGGTGTACGGAGCGCCGCTCCGCCTACCTGGTGAACTCATCACCCCGTCCGCCACCGCGCCTCCTACGCCGGAATCATTCGCCGCCGAGCTTCAGCGCACCATGGCGGCACTGCGCCCGACGGCACCACGACCAGCACCAAGCGCGCCGTCGTACGTGCCGCGCGCGCTGGACCACGCCTCGCACGTGTTCGTGCGCCACGACGCAGTGAAGCCGCCGCTTGCCCCGCGTTATGACGGACCATACAAGGTGCTACACAGATCGGCGAAGACGGTCACTGTGGACCGAGGAGGTCGTTCAGACGTTATCTCTATCGACCGAGTCAAACCGGCGCACTTGGAACGGCCCCCGCCTGCTCCAACTCCGACAGCATCGCCGTCTGCGGTCCAGGACACGGCGCGTTCCGCCGACTCGGCAACACCGGCCTCCGGCCCAGAGCTCCTCCTGCCAGTGCCTCGCGCACCGAAGCCGCCGCTTCCGCCACCGCGTGGCGACCTGCCGCTACAGCCGCCGCCTCCGCCCGCGCCCCCACCGCCGTGCCTACGGACGACCCGCTCCGGCCGTGCTGTACGGCCACCAACGCGTTTTCTTAACGTCACGTTCGCAGTGCCGTCTCTAGGGGGAGGGTGATGTAGTGCATCGCCGCACGTTCTCCGACGCGGCGCGGCACTACCGCCGCTGGCGACTGGCGAGCGCTCCGACGCGAGGCGGCGCCACCGTCGACCTCAACGTGGCGCTGCTGTCGCAACTGACGCGAGGCGCAGGTTCAGCGATATCCGCCAGATGGCTCTGCTCCACTTGTTCATTTTCTATGTCCGATTTATTAATGTTTTAGAAATGTATGTTTGTGTGTATGTATCATAATGTTCATCGTCGTGTGGGCATTCACGCACTCTTCTAGAAAGTATCTCTCGCTCTGATATACGTTTTCTCACTGCTTTGTACTGTCCTTAACTTTGCCAAAACGAACTATGGTTTCATCGTTGTGTTCACTACATAGCTTGCTCATGCTGTTTCAAATACATCGCTATCCTTGGCCGATCTAAGTGTTTGGGGGAGACGGCTCCACATCAGGGAACTTCCCAGCCCGTCGTTGTGTGGAATCCCAAGTTGCGAATCCCAAACACTGGAACGGCTTCATCCGGCTTAGAGCACGACTCGCCACGGCACCAGCCACAGACCTTATCTATGAAGGCTTGTCAATTGAGTGGTAGGTTTTCTGTGGTGCGATTCAGATCACAAACTGGTGCTCTAAAACTAATGGATGCGTGGGTTTCAGGACACCAGCAGATATTGATGAGAACCCATGTTTTCAGGGATTTTATTGAAAACCAGGTGGTGGATTTTGCCAAACAGAATCCAGGCATCGTTGTATATCTTAAACCCAGACGCCATCGCGCTCCACATGTCAAGCTGGAATATTGTGAGTACTCACCACTTAATCATTCTCAATTCAGGCAGCACTGCTATAGTAATCAAGTGCATGCATCAGGGCTTTTATATAGTCAATTAACTATCCCATCAAAACAGTAGATATTTCAAATTGCATAAAAAGTTTAAATTATACTGTGTATCTGAAATTAAGCCATACCATTGCTATGAGCTTTGTTCATACATCTGAGCTGCTACATGTCAGCTCCCACTGCAGCACCACTCATGTCCATGGTTGACCCGTTCCCATGACACCACAGTGAACGGTGAGACGGAGATCCTCAGTGCCAAGTGCCTGTCTGAGCGGGAGCTGCGCCAGTGGCTGGAGGTGGCGCGCGGCAGCTCCGGCGAGCCGGTGGCGCGCCTCAGGAAGATGCAGCACACCGACCGGCCGTCCATCCAGGGCGTCTGGACGCCGTGGACCAGCGTGCCGCCGCAGACCAACCTCGAGACCTTCCCCAGCGTGAGTGCGCGCCGCGCCGCCGCGGGCGCCGGCTACCGGGACCGCTGTCGTCAATGTTCTGCTCTGTGCTTTTGCAACAAGCCCAGCCGATTGCCCCTGTTTCGTGGTCATTTGACAAAAGTACGGAATGAACGCGTTCAACAAGCATTCTTCTTTCATCGTTGCTCGTCTCACTGTTCTGATACCGAGCCCAGCCTATTGTCTCCGTTTCATGGTCATTTGACAAAAGTACGGGTTAACCGCGTTCAACAATCATTCTTCTTTCATCGCCGTCCGTCACACGCAACAGCGACAACAGTAATTTGCACATCGCGCGGCATCCTCCTGTAGGCACATTTATCATTCCGTAACCCTATCTCTTCCCCGGACAGGAGGAGGGCTACCGCGCGCCGCAGCGCGAACAGACCGCCACGGAGAAGCTGCGCGAGCTGTTCGCTCGCCAGCAGGAGCAGAAGCAGCTGACGGAGGAGACGACCGGCACCAGCTAGCATGGAGCCGGCGATGGAGGGGTAGTCAGCAGGGACGGTCTGTGCGGACGGGTGTTTGTATGTGCGCGTATTGATACGAGTGAGGTGTGGTGGAAGATCGTGTAGTTTATGCGAGGTTAAGTACGCATATTGATTCTTGTATAGGTGAAATCAGTGACAATATATGCTTGTTTCTCGTAGAACTCGCGCCATGTAAGCTGGAGATTACCGACCGTTTTCTGAGAGAATGGGTTTCTTCAGTAATGAGTACGTAGTACGTTGCACCTCTGTCATCACCAGTCATGATATTGACATCGCCACCTACGTCATTCATTGCATTATATTTACACCGATATCACACGAAAAGCAACCCCAGCACGGTACATAAACCCGAATAGTATACCGGTTACGAGCGAGAAGTCACGCCGATACACACCACTAGGGTCTCACTGGTAGCAGGTAGGGCACCACATATACATTGTATACAGAAACGGCCACACCGGCTGTCTACACCCCGCTCGAATTTCCACAGCACCGGGAGGGGTACGCACGAGTACACAGTGCACAGTGCACACAAACACAGCAAACCCTCCCCCTGACAGCCATTCCCACTCCCCGGCAGTGTCCATGTCACGCCACCGAGCGCGTCATATCACCGGTCACGATGTCACATCACTGCAGGAAGTCAATGACCTCACCCAGCTCTCGCTCGCGGGCCTGCTCCTGCGCCCAGCGCGCCTCTGCCAGCTGTGGCGACACCTTGTACTTCTCGTGGAAGATTCTCTTACCGCATAGCTCGCACTTTTTGCCGCCGTCGAACGGTGGCGTCTTCATGTACTGCACCAGACAGCCGAAGTGGTACAAGTGGCCGCAGTAGACGCGCTCCACGTGTAGGTCTGCGCCGCCGTCCTCTACCACGTCAGCCGGGTCCGCTGGCAGCGCCACCTGTGGACCAATCACGGAACTGTTCAGCACTGAAACATTGCCGAACTGCCCACATACCGTGCAACACAAACACTCGGCGATCATTGCAATAACGACTAAACACTCGCGATCATTTTGACAGATGCATGGAGTTAGAACTAACTTGAAGAGAAGACATAGATGCTGCTGATGGCACGGTGCTATAAAATGGTTGGCACACCAAACCTCTCCTGCCGCGCCCCGCGACGCATGAAATATGCTGAGCGAGCTAGTGCACCGCTCGCTGATGAGTCAGCGCGCGATGGATGAAACGCCCGGTTTTAAGCGCGCATCGCCCGCACACATGTGAACACGTGACACGCCACTTAGGGTCAGGAAGGATAGAACACCTCACTTCCGTCGGAACCTGCGCCGACTTTACCTGTTTTCCTGACTTCATAAGGAAAATTGAATGATAGCCGTCTCGGCAAATAGAGTTCACATCCAGGTATGGCTTAAAATTTGTCGGCAGTTCCAAAGCATGCATGTATACGGGATTAACATGTGTTCGCCTTTCGCAGCTTTGCAGGCACAGCTGTTCACCGGAATACAACAGGAAATGATTGTACAATGCTCGTAAGTGTACCTAAGGGTAAGAAATCTTCACCGGAAAGAAGTTGAGGGCGGGAGTTATATCAGCTTCGTTTTGGGCTTCGTGTTTTCTCGTAGGATACTATAGATCTTTGATAAAAATAGACTTCTGTTGGAATAATACGAACAATGAACCTAAAACACATACATTTCACGGACCTTGTGGATCCTTGCAGGTGATTATTTAATTGGTGAAATAGCCGGACAGGAAATGTAATGTCCTCTGGCGCGGATGGCCGCGAGGAAGCTCTGAGGCCAGAGCCCTTCAACGCACGGTAAGGGACGGAGCTAATCCAACCCAGCCTTGGAATATTGAGGGCACAGGCAGGCCTGATCCTTCCTTGAGATCCCCATAATCGGACTACAAACGCAGATATGTAATGGCTGAAACCTGAAAGCCATTACATAACCCACAACGCAGCTCCGCTTAGTGGGCACCTACAGACGTTGCAACGGATGAAACACTGGCATCAATGCCAACACGAATAAGTTCGGTCATATCACTCACTTGCTGTTATTCTAATCGATTCTGATCCATGCATTTAAACACGACTTTGACATCTAGCTCCGCGTCTAAGCAGATAAAGTCATCTGCAAGACACGGGAGGCATGTAAAATGTCACGTTCAATACCCTGCGTGACAGCACCATGACCACGAGTACCGTAGGCAGCCGGATTCATCCACCAACATGAAGATTACCACATCGGCACGGCCGCGCTGTCCGTCCGTCCGTCCGTCCGCCCGCTGTCCTGTACCGGGCGCCGCCCGAGTCCGGCCGGCACCTCGCCGCGACCACTGCGATTGGCCGGCGCTCTGGCAAAAATACCGGCCCGACGGGCGGCCGGGCGGCGGTGGCGGCGGCGGCCGACCGGCGCGGACAGTGTCTGCAGCGGCGCTGCTGGCTGGTCCATGGTCGGCCCTCGCGCAGAGCCGAGCGCTCGCCCCATGTCGGCATGGCGTCGCAGTGCTGCTGCTGTTTCGGCCTGCGCAGCGGCGCGGTGGTGATCGGCGCCTCGCTGCTGATCCTGCACACACTCGTGGCACTCATCCAGGTGACGGTGCTCTCCACGCTGCCCGACAAGGACCCCGAGCGGCAGCTGGAGTCGGCGCGCCGCCTGGCGCTGGCCGTGGTGCTCATCGCCCTCCTGCTGCACGTGGTGTTCAACAGCGCGCTGGTGCATGGCGCGCGCACGCGCCACCGCGGCCTGGTGCTCGCCTGGCTGGTGTACCATGCCGTCTCGTCGGCACTGCACAGCCTCGGTTTGTTGAGCGCATTCGTGGGCGCTGCCGCGTACGGCAACAGCCTGGCGCTAGTGGTGCTGCTCATCACCATGGGTCTGCTGGTGCCGCTCTGGTACTGGTTTGCCGTCGGCGTCCGCCTCTACTGCAAGCTCAGCCACAAGCCCGGCGTCGTGTACAGCGAGCCCTGCAGCAAGACGCCCGTCTGAGGAGTCGGCACCTGACAGCGATGGAGTCGGCCTCTGGCGGCGAGAGAGTCGAGTTCTGGCGGCGAGAGAGTCGAGTTCTGGTGGAGAGAGTCAAGTTCTGGTTGCAAGAGTCAAACATCTGGCGGCGAGTGAAGCTGTAGCGGTCGAGTCCTGGCAGCGAGGGAGTCGAGTTCTGGCGGCGAGATAATCGAGCTATCGCGCCGGGAGAGTCCGCTTCTAAAGCTAAAGGAGTCTGGATCCGACGCAACGATCGAGACTGACAGTGGTGCGAAAGAGGGTTGAATAACCCCTCCCTAATCGTCAAGGAAAACCCATCTGTGTCAACTTTTCCCGGAACCGAGCCGGTACAGGTGTGCCACAACTACCGGAATACATTCTGCTGAAACAATCACCACTGCCTCTTCTCAGTCGAGCAACAGAGCCATGAGCGCAATGGGCCCTAGAGTATTCTGCGATTAACAAATCGCTTCATATATCTGGCTATTTTATTAGCTGCTAGCTCTAAGTCACTATTTTGTGCCAATCGTTTCACTGTTTTTGACCATACGTACGTGAAGTATTCGTCGTCCCATGTTGCATTATTTGTCCATGTTCACTTCACATGTCGTGTCCCTGATGGAGCACCAGCCGATAAATGTGCAGAAGCTGATTGTTGGATGAGGTCTTCAGATATCTGTGGGTGAGTGGCTACATTATACTCTTTCTGTGTCGATGCTGAGTTTAGCTCCTGAGCAAGTTACCATATCAAAATGGCATATGTAGTTTGCCTTAAACTGTGAATTTAAAGGGTAGAAGACTGAATAATAAAGGGCGATGCCTTCCAGTGATAGTGAAGCTCGTTTGCGGCATGAACTCGCTGGAATGGCGGTGTCAGTGGCACGCGAGCAGTCCAGCTCCGGTCGTGAGGAGCTCCTCACGCAGGGGCGCCGATGGAGCGACCCGCAATGGGTCTCCGTAACAGGAAAACCTAAACAAGCCTCGACGAAACTGCGCAACTCTGGTCCATCACACGGGCAAGCTGCTGGTTATCATGGTAGCCCCATCGCCGGGCCACCTTTCCGTCGCTCCATCGTCCCTCCTCCATGGCGTGCGGAGTTTCTGTGGACCCCGCAGAGCCCGTGTGACGGCCGCGCAGCGCGGGCCTCCCGGCCGGCTCGGCGGCGCCCGGCGCCAAGGAAAGTGACGGACGCGCTGCGCCGCGACCTTGCGCCGGCGAGCGGGGCAGCCACATTTTCCCCAACGGACCGGCCGAGGAAGGGCCAGCGCCGCACCCGCGACGCTGCACCGCCGATCGGCCCCAGCTGGCCGTGGCACGACACGGACAGGGAACCTCACAGGCCGCAATACGACGGACCGAGCGACCGAGGCCGCACAAAACCACCCGCAGGAAGCCACTCCGCTGACCAGGGCTGCGGAGTCGGAGTCGGAGTCGGAGTCGGAGTCGGTCGGAGTCGACAGTTGTGACCGGAGTCGGAGTCGGAGTCGATTTTAGAAACTCGAGCCGGAGTCGGAGTCGGAGTCACCGAAAAGCTGTCGACTCCGCAGCCCTGCTAGGTCTGCGGAGTCGGAGTCGGGAGTTGGAGTCGGTCGGAGTCGACAATTCTGCCCGGAGTCGGAGTCGGAGTCGGAGCTGGTTTTTGAAAGCCGGAGTCGGAGTCGGAGTCGGAGTCGCCGAAAATCCATCGACTCCGCAGCCCTGCCGCTGACAATCAAAATTGATAGGTTCTATCGAAAACAATGAACGAAACAGTGGGAATTTGAAGGCTATCTGTTTGCAGGCTCATCGGGGAAAAATCCAATCAATATCGGACTCTTTCTGACCGAACCCCAGCGGTGTTCCTTAGTCTCTCCCACCTGGCTGTTCAGTTACTCAAAACAATGGGGGCGTTCCGACTGGATGCCACAACAGCGAGGTGCGCAGTAGTAACGGCTGTTCACAAGACAACAAAAAACAGCCGAGCGGCTCCTAATCGGGAGTGAGCAATGTCCTCGACGGTGCGATGTCACCAGCAGCCAGCAGAAGTGCTATGAGCTGAAAACGCCTTTCCCTCGGTCCTCTACGGCTGACGTGGGATGGGTGAGCAGCGTTCGTCTAAGCCTCTTCCAAGGGGCGTAGCCCAGCCGATAACACGCACTTTTCTGTTGAGGTATTATCGGATCGCATGGTCTGTCAGGTCCCCATACCTATGTAGGAGACCAT